GTGGAGTTCGCATGGTAACAGGCGGCCAACTCGTGAATTAAAATCCCCAGCGAGGACAACGACATCCAACTTTTAGCATTAGTCAAGAGCTGATATAGATCCCGGTATTTCCACTATGAACATCCTGCGGACCCTGCTAAGCTGCAGTTTTTATACCGCATAAAACCATTGTTCCAACCATCGTATCATTAGTGCTATACCTACAGCCAAACCCGCTGAGACTGCTTCTGAATCTCCGGAAAGAAGCAGGTAATATCCGGCTTAGTGGGGTCTTGCACTCGGATTTCTTAAAGGCAGCAAACGTCAATATGGAGGGATCCTAGGGTCCGAGCTAGACTGGCTTGCTGTCCAATCTGAATAAGTGTCCGTACGTTGAAGCACGCCAGACGGAACGAGGTTCGGGGTTGAAGGAGAGCCATAGGTTGAACTCCATGGTTCGCGGCGTAACCGGAATAGCAGCCAGATTTTTGAACACGGAAATAGGGTAACGGATAGCAAGGATTGTTAGCAAACAAAAAATAGGCGTGTGGTGAGGTCACGTGAATGTAAGAAACAGAAACGGTAGCAGATGAGCATGTCGTAGAACTGTCCTCAGAAGTACGGTAGTTGTAGGGCATCTGTTGAAAACCATCAACATACTATTGTGTGTGGTTAGCATCGCAAAAGACCAGTGAATGTCAATTTCAAGGGAAGGGCCAAATGCAATGCATGTATGGCGTGGCGCTAGAGCTATCCTGATATAACATGTGGAAGGGACAACAATATGTGCGACCAGTATGACCCCCACGTCTCTTGTAATGGAAAGTCGTTTGTAGAGCTGGTGACTAAGAAACGGTAGGAAAACCGCTAGAAAACCTAAAAGATAGAGAGCTTGATCACGTGAATGTGCGAATCAGACCCTGTGCCTAGTGACACAGTCATAAAATTTAAATAGTACCGTGAGATTGCTCGGGTATAAGTGGCCGGCAGTTTTGCGTTGAATGGCAGTAAAGGTGCATTAAAATGGAGGACAATTACTCTTCCACCATATGACTTCAGAAAAATCAAATTGAACTCCTCAAACTATTAGGCAATTTGTTTCCTGGATCCTACCTACCTAGCGAGTTAAGAAGTCTCTTCGTTGGTTCGGCTACAAAGTTCTCTATTTTAGTTCACAAGTACACACGACAGAATATCCAAATGCAGCACAACGAACTAGGCAGTTAATCGAATAATAAGCTGAGACTAGCACAGCGTCCACCGTTTGCAACGATCAGCCTAAGTGTCTGAGTGGTCCCACGATATAGGTTGCCAGCAAGATCCAGCGCATGGCTTAGTAACAACAACAAGCTTTTATATCAGTTTTGAAATTGTTGCTGTCTGCGCAGTTAAAAGTACCCTGGTCGGTCCCGTATCATCGAACCGGGTTGTAAATAGCATCATACTTCTACAGATGTATTGTGAAAAGTCGAGAATAACCTATTAGTAACACTGCATTGTCATATGTACGATGTTATGCTATACATAGTAAATACATCGTTAGTTTGACGTGTGCGAAGGCATGATGCTATTTTCTGCCCACTGGCGGCTGAATGTTCGTAATGTGGTTCAGTAGTCGGTATCGAACAATAACCGCTCTTGTGAAGACAATTTAGCTGACGGAGTTAATCGGCACTGTAGTACAAGAATGCACGACCTCCAAACAGTATCAATGACGAAATGTTGGATATGAGCCAAAGGTCATTTGCTCACAAGTCCGCACATCCTGGCCAAAGCTGTGGCTACGCCAAGACTAATTCAACCTGGCACCAACATTCATGCGCTCGATCCATTATGAACTGAAGTCATATTAAGACGTTGACACGAAGTGATCAATGTGTGAGAGGAGCCTGTACTGGTACCCGCGCGCGCTTGGACGGAGATCGTACGTTTAGATTGCTTGACTGACGGATTGACCACCTAAAGTGTAGCTGCTTTGGATGAAATTGTACATATCTGATACGCAGCTAGCATATACACGCTACCTGAGGGGCACACTGACAGGTACCACCTATGCAATCGTGATAAACTTCACTTCGGAGAGGATAGTGCTATTGTTCCAGAGGATATTTTAGTCAGTCACTCAGCTGTCAGTAGTTAGCGAAACACACTACCATCAACGAAATGATGCGGCTATAGTGCATCAGCGGCGTCTAAAAACATCCACTGCTCGGGAGGTATGTGAGTGGGCGTCTCGATTGTTTATGATTCAAAACAACAGTCTCCTCCAGCCGCATACTTCCCGGTCTTAATAGTTCGGGTCTGCAAAAAACATGGAGAATGTGGGTGGACTTAAGAGTGGCACAATGCAAAACAACCATTGTTATTTCGTAGGTGCAGAGGCTTCACGTATGTTCGCAGTGACATTGACAACCAAACTTAGATGATGATACAAAATACGACCATTTCAAAGAATCGCGTTCGTCACCTTGGTGAGCCAAGAAAAACGGTGGGAAAAGATCAATTATTCATAAGAAATGCGTGGATAGATCACACTTGAAGTATGCCGTTTTTCGCAGAGTCCCAAATGGTCCCTGTGAATGATTGCAAATGAGTGATGCCTACAACGAGCAGATAAAGGAAAAACATTCGAGTAATAAATACCAGGTGGCCTACGAACTGCAGAAGATTGTGGTGACGTCCCTAACAACCCGCCTCGTGGTGCATAGTAAAGTGAATGAGAAGAACAGCAGATCGATGAATGCAGCGACATAACACGACGGCAATGAACGAATTTTTTCGACACCGCCATTCGCCAAAATGGCATCAGTAGTGCGGCGAGACTGCGCACCAACGAGCTGCCGTTTTGCAGCTAGGTAACCACCAAAAGCAGTGTGCGAGTTAGTGATACCGGATCGTCCGCGCATATGCGGGCTAGAACCGGTGAGTCGTGGGTTGCAAATTAAGTGTCTTAACCCATCGGCCAACGGCAGTCATGCACCGATAAGTGCAGGCCAAACAAATGAACAGCTCGACATACGGAACAATTACCGATTGATCTAGGCACCATAGGGATGTTGCTTGCAGTGGGAAAATAGAGACTGACCACCAGAATGATTGAGGCGCAGTGTGAAAGCTCGTATGTGGACTAGACAGTTTAGGATCGTTTTCACGGAAGCACGTCGGACTGAGTGCAGATCTGATAGAAACGTTCAAGATCAAGAAAAGCCAGTGGGAATAAGCCTGCTGATATAGACGAATTAGCCACGTCGGATCACCAACGGGAGCATCGTGCTTAGCTCGAGCAGTAAGGATTCCGAATAAGAGTTTCCGTGAATTGAGTAGTGGGAACAGAATTCCATCTACCGTAGGATAATTGAATACCATGGAAACCGAAAGAGGCTCAGACAGAAGTTGGTTAACTCTGTTTCCGAAACCACCGTAAGATTAGTCGCTAGCATCCCATGAATTCCTAGCCATCCCAGTGAGCTTTCAACAGTGTTGTTGCTCTTACTCTTCTCTGTTTGCAGAAGCGTGGATGTGTCGGTGAGCTTTACTTGCTTGCCGCCAGATGAAACATGATGCTCGTTGGGCGAAGACTTGACATGATTTGGCAGAGTGAAGATTAGGCCGTGAGTAGCTGGGTACACAGAGACAGTCGCACGTTTCGTGCAAAAATGCGAAACAAACGTTGAACGTTGGTATATTTGAAAATCTCAAATATACGACCGAAACATTCCTTAGACCATGTATAAAATGGAACCTTCTAGAAGATAACTATGGCGGAGCCTTTAAATCATATGTTGCGTTTCCAGTGGAACGCAGTTTGTACTGTATCTACTGCGGAGTTATTAGTTTCCATTAAATATTTTTAACGAGTTCCTTGATTACAATAATTACAAGGTCACCATTGCTGTCTTCCGCCAATTAGTTTATAATAGACTTCGAGATACTGTAACAGAAAATCCTCGTCCGGATCGACAATTTGGCGTTTTTAATGTCTTTGTCTTAGAACATTTGCAGTAGCTGTTCGAAAATACCGAAAATTCACAAACTCGGGTATATAAAAGTTATGTTTACCTGATTTGAAACTGATTATATGTTAGTGACAATTCTTTCCCCGTGAGCTTCGCGTCCAAGCAGTAGGGTAATCGTGAATCTGATCACAACATGAAGCAGGTAAATGGCGCTTATAGTCAGCGCGATTACTTGGCTTACAGAAAGGCAGCTGTGCGCTAATCTGTATGCAATCGCATTTTCGTCACCGCACATCCGAGTAAGTCAAAATGTTTCCTGCAGATTAGCTACCTGTTGCAAACTATCGCTGTCGAAGGTAAGACGGATAGGCGATAAGCCACGAGTGAATTCGTCACCAAACAGTATATAATTCAATATAGATAGGAAATAAATTTGTCACAGGGGACGAACACTAAGATCCGTACCAAGTTGAGACTGCTATTTCAAAATGTCACATCGCTCAAGATATAGCAAAATGTAACGAGCCCTCCTTTTCACGCTCTTGTCGACGATGCTCCCGTTGGGTCTGGCGGAAGGTGGATTTCTTCAATAAGCTCTCAACCAACGTTTGGTATCAGATAAGAGACCGCCAATCTCAACAAAACACTGAGCTAACAGTAAAAATGTCGACATTGAAGTGCATGAATTCGTTGTATCACTAGTAAAGGTTGTAACGGAAGCGAATCACACAGTATGGCTCCACCTAACGAATGACTAAAGGTGAGACACGCCATTACACTGCGGTTCAGTGCAGTCAACTGGCAACGTCTACCAAATTCGACTGCATTGGCTGCAGTTTTCTGGATTGATTTATTTTGAATCTAACGGTGAATTGGCAATGGAACAGCAGTGATCGATGTTGTAGTGATCAATGCTGCACGCCTTCAGATCACTGAGAATAACTCAGATCATGCGGGAGAGTACGAGCCAGTTTGAAATAAATTTCCCATCTATTCTATCAAATTAAACAGATGAACGAAACTCTCCGTAGCTAACCCGATAAGCGAAAACGCAGAAAAATAATGATGTAGCACGGAGCTCATTTATTTTACTGAAACTGGGGACTTAAAATCGATTAACATGATGAGCAAGAAATAATGGAGCGGATCATAACAGGAGCGGAGTCGAGGTACATAGATGGCGATCAATGAAACAAATGGTTTTCAAGATCTTCCCTTGGTCAGGTGGCTCATTTATGGTCGATAATTTATCCGTTTCCAGTTTCAATGCGTGTCTGCCAAACAAAAGGATGCGCACCGACTGGATGAATCGATGAACGCGCCACCCCCTCGAATGAATGTCCCATTCCCGGAACTTTTATTAAGTTTCCACTCTGTTTAAAAATAAACCCATTTGTCTAAAATGTGACAAAAGCTGAGACTTTGGGAAGCAAAAATGAAAATGCACCAAGACACATGAACGCTTGCAAGAAGATTCGCGTTATCAAAAAACGCAGTTGAAATTGATTTGTGTTGATGCTATAATTAGACTAAAGTATTTTTAAAACAGTTCGCATTTGTCAAACGAATGAAGCTGCGTTTTATTACATCTTCTTCGATAACGAGCTTGTTTTGTACTCTGAGGACGACGGGTTCGAACCTGTGTAGGGGAAGGACGACCACCGCAGTATAATAAGCCCACGTACGACCGTTGGTGGTTGCGCTGTAGCGAAGCGTTGATACTGAGTACCGGCGTACTTCCGATGTCAGTCGTTCGATGGGATACCATGGAAAAGTTGGAAGCAGTGGAGTTGTGTGGCGAAGAGCCCACACTAGAGAGTTCCCGCTGGACAGCTGGAAAAAGCGAACAAACGTAAAATACATAGGTAGGTTAGGAGCAGTACGAGTTAGTAAGCAGTAACGATGCGTACCATCCAGTGACTCTGAGTGAATGGATTTACCCTTTAATGTCGATCTATCAAGATGCGTCGTAAACAGTCGGCGACTACAGGTATGAATAAAGATTGAAAGTTTAAGTACGTTTAACCGATATCATATTGACAGAGATGGCGAGTCACTCGTGAAGAGACACGCGTGACGACCGTATCATGCTGGCCGTCCAGATGACCAAAACAAAGTTCGTCATCAGTTAGGAACCTGTCAAATACGGGGAGCGCCAACTATTTCGTCAGCTTTCCCATGCCGCTTCTCCGAGTCGTAGTTTGTCCGAGAGTAAATCATGCAAATTCATTTTAGGCACAATGTGATAGGAGAGAAACAACAAACGGTTTACAGGGTTATGAAGTTACGGTGATCAAAGTCTCAAATGCATCCATCGCTTCAGTTGGTCTCTACGTGTCATCAAACCGATGCGAGACAAGATACATACGTTGGACTCTTTTTTATTATTATCCAAATGCATGTTCTGACCAATCAAAACACGAAGAAACTCAAGCTAATATGCGAAACACATCGCGTGGGTTTGGTCGTATCCGAATTCGTAAAGAACTAAGTGGGACAGGTATTGGCACCGCAGTGCCAACAGCACACTGATTACTGAGGCTAATTTATTCAAACAGGATTCCTTAAAATTCACTCAGGTTGACTACCAGTGCCCGCAGTGACTATAAGACACATCTCAGTATGCAGTTGTGAGCCTGACACCAGAGTAGATACGTCGCTAATGGAGTACGCATTGCCGATGGGATAGTCGTATAGTGCCTTAACAGATGGAGTTGGTTAACTGAACTGGACTATGCGTGATGAAAACTAGTTAAATCCCATACTAGCCATAAACGTGTTTAGAGAGGAACGAGTTAGTGGCTCACAGCATCTTCAGTGAGAGGCACTGGACGGGTCGGTGTGGTATGACGCGCAAGACGTTTGAGACAAGTGGTACGTTAGAAACTCAAACATGAATGGGGAAGGATGCAAAATGCCGAGTAAAACTGACTGGAAACTCTTGTATAGTTCAGCCATGCAATAATGATACAGTGATTGAGGAAAGCAACTAAAGAAAAACAGATGGCTTCATCGATGTGAGCACCAAACAAACGATGTGGAGCACAATGAACTCAGTTATCTACCATGTAACGTGGTGCATTTCTCAGTATAGGTGACAGATTTTGTCAACGTTTCGAATGGTGGTTGTACGCGATTGATGCAGTATGCGCAAGACATGTTACGCAAATGGCGCGTTCACACCCAAAGGGCTCCAAATAATTCACAATCACTGGTTTATTGTGGGCACTGAGCAAAGGACCAAGGCCAATCTAAGACAATCTGCATGGGCAGAGGAAAAAAGTGAACAGCAAGAAAATTGAAACGAGAAAACTAGAACACTACACAACTTTAGACGCTGCCGTCCCACAACCCAAACCAATCCGCTTGTTTCAGAAAGTATAACTCACTTGTGGGGTTTTATAGTGAGGCAATCGTGCAGCCGATAGACTCAGGTTCCTACGGTGGCTAAGTGTAGCGTTCATTAACCGTCGGACAGTTGACAGAAAAGTGCACCAGGATAAACCACAGTAAGTGTGGCGACTGGCCCACCATGTGTTAGAACAGTAGTTCCTATTAGCAAGGCCAACGAGGCAAATAACAGTGATGACGAGAGTATAAAGGACTGGTGTGCGCAAGTGGATAATGTCGGTCAATGCACTTAAAGTATCTAAATAGAACCGCATTACCTGTATGCATTAAGCATGACAATTTGCTCACATGCTATCTGGAGGTGACGATACCGAGTGAAGAGCGCTTTCGGGACGACAATTGAGGTGATAACGACCCTGAGTCTATTTTATGTAGATCACGCGGCACAAATTGGCTTGGATACTTGTTCAAAGACGAATCAATAGCTTAGAAACTTACAATAAGTAACCTCCAACGAGCATACAAGGCTGTCACTACTAAGCCGTCACCAAAATACTATACCAGGTGTTGTGGAACAAGCATTGATGAACAGTCAGAAGATAGTCTCCGGCTAGCGGCACGACTCACCACACAGATCAACGAGTCCAAGCGTAGAGTAACAAACAAAATATCAGCTCATAGATGTGTCCTTTTTGCGCTGGACTATTTAAGTGGACCATTTAAGTGGTCATAATCATCAGCTCCAGAAGCCGTGCAATGCAAGCGGCCTGACGTGTTCTTCCGAGTTTCACTAAGTAGGAAATAAAATGGATTCAGAGGCATGTTTCTCCCTACCACTGGAAACTTCAGATCACGAGCGTCAACATTTTCAGGAAGTCACTGAATTCTCACAAGTAGCCAGCTGGAGAGATATGTTCAATGCTTCTGCTAGTCGTTGAACAGCGTAAAAATTTTCAAGCCAAGTTCTCCCCTACACCATCTGTCACTTATGTGCACGATGGCCGGTTGAAATCAATCATTTACGTGGGGTGTTTCGATAAGGGCACAAAAACGTCGTTACCTTGTTTCGCCATAGCTTGGGCGCACGTGCTTCGCAGTTGCCATCGATTGTCGCAGGCGAACGGAGAACAGAAGTGGACGCTAGACCTTGAAGCCGAATGGCCTTGCCACGTGATACACACTCAGGCGCACGGCATTGACGTGGATCAGCTGGGAAGGTAATGCCGATAGAAAGTTGGGAAGCGAGGTAGCAAGCAGGTGCGTAGATGGCAAATTGCATAACGCCTAAGCTCATGTGGTAGCTTTAGTTGTACCGCGTGATTTAGTTCGTGTTGATAGTCCCTACAGCAAACAGCGGTGCGAGCGGCTTTAAATATTTAACCATGATCTCTCCGAATCGGTCCGATTGAGGCCGGCTCATCAGTGAACTCATCGGGACGAAGTAATAATGAACGCACAAGGAGAAACCAGTGTAAAAATCAGACAGTTTTCGGTGATTTATTCTTAAGCTAAACAAAACACATTTATCTAGGTAACACTATTAGTAGTGAAGTAAACACGGTGTGTCAAAACGATACTCGTGCTGTCAGTTGCCCCTGCGGTTGTGGTCGCCGCTTACGAAACTGTACGGAAGACAGCTAGCCACATCAGAACCGGAGACTTCCCAAAGTGCTTGTGTATACACGGAGGGAGTGATTAAGAGGAATAATAATTGCGTCGGCCACTGCAATTATGCGATATTTGGTCACTTTGGAACGAACTGTTCTTAGGTGGAAGGCTTTTGACCAGGTACAGGTATATTCAATGGTCGAGCCACATTGGGAGATGTGCTCGGATGCGTCCAGCTAAACGTTGTGTGAAGCTATGTAGCTTGTTCCAAAGAAACAAGTTGACTGATACAGGAAGACGGTGGTATACACAAAATATTTCTCTCAGATGAGAGGCAGTGTGGGCACTGAAGTGAAGAAACTCCCTAACTGTGCGAAAAACACGTGTTTTAACGGGGAATTCGGACGTTATGCTGGTACGTGTTAGCTGTTATCAGCTTGTATTCCTAACTTGTCATCAATGGGTGCCTCCGAGTAACGATTTGCTCATTTATCGTATGAGTTCCCTGTCAAATGTAGGTTTTGAACAAATTTCCATCGCCATTCCATTTAGGCATCGGATTAAGTGTTGCTGCTGTTACATCGGTATAACACTAGCGAAGCTAATGTGTCGATCAAACCATGTTGACTCGTTGCAGTAGTTTGAGAGGAAAGATAAACCAACGACATCCTTTGCTACTCAAACAGTCTCGGTATGAAGGAGAATCAAAAAGTTGTATACATGTGGCCCAATAAAGCCCATACGCATCGTCCTTAACAGACAAATCTTAGCTGCAAGTGGGTAACAACAGTTGCATGAAAGATCGCGTGCGCATGGCGGTTCCAAACCGCATGAATGCACGCTAACAGTCAAGCAAAAGCGTCTCCATTTACGTAACTGTAAGGAGGCCATATATGAATCGAACACTAAGAAGAGTGAAGAAGCACCCGGTATCTCGAATCGAGTCTAAGTGGGATAGATACGAAAAAAATGACGGAAAGGTCAGAACCGAACAATGTGATCAACCACCTGATGTTCACGAAAGTATGTAATAGTTGCCAGTTGTTGAGATAGGCGATTCAAGTAAAAAGATTCATCCTTATTCGAGGGACATCATTGGTGCAGAAGAGTTGAAGGGTAGTATTCTTAAGCAACCCTCTGACTCTTCTGGGCTGATGACATCACCTCAACTGGCGAGGAAACGGCCGCAAACAGGCACCTTAGGCGAACAACACAACACGAACTGCCAGCGTTTTGATATGTTAGAATGACAAAGCGTTACAGTGAGGGGTTTGTCACACTGAGAGTTAGTTATACAGAGATAGGACTGCACGGTCATTTCATCCTTTCGGGAACCGTCAGCAGTGTCAAATCCATCTATCAATCAGTCGATCTCGAACCCGTAACCCGAAGACAAAGATTTCGTGGTTGAGACCACTGGCTAATAGGATGTGTACCAGACGATGTGAACAAGTAAGCAGCGCGAGACTCACCCAACACCGCCACGCGCATTTCCAACGTACATAAAATGCATCAGAGGCCACGAATGGCTCCCTGAGACGCGTATTCCTTTACCGAGCCATCATCGTCCTACAGTATTATAAACTAACTTGTGCAGTTACTGATTTTTGAGAGCACTGGAAGAGGGATTTGTTCGAATAAGTTCCAAATCCCTTCTGTCACTAATCACACGGTGTGGGATTACCAGCCGGATGGCGGCGCAGCTTGGCTCTACAGCGGTGTGAGGAAGAATATAACGAGTGCAGCGTTGTCGCACCTAGTTGACTCCGACCATCAAATCGATTCGCCTGACGCATTCACACCGATTTACTGTGTCCCTGGACGTTTCACACGGGCAGTCAGATGTCGCCTGCTGTTGACAGCAGAGGCGATCGCAATTCGGCTCAATAACCCGGACCTATGTGCACAGAAAAAGCTCGTCCACACTTTAGCCTTGCCTTGGCCTGAGATGAACGCGACTAACAATGGCAGTCACGCCAATTCACTTGACCAATCAGACCAAACACGTAGACTTATCGATTAGTTACTCTGTTTCAGTGACTCAATTTAAACCATCGTGTCTATTCTAACTTGCTTTATTGTGGTTGTATTAGCCTGATGATGAAGCCATGAAAACAAGCTTGTTCGCTACTTTCTGTTTCTGATGTCAAACATCAGAGTGTGGACGATTATCGGCTGGCAACAGTTCATCATCCGCATCGGCACAACCCGGAGTGCAAAGTATCATGTCGTCGACTAAGTACATAGGAAAGCGGTATGATAAGACTTCCCATGACCTCAGCAGGTGGTCTTTGGCAGCAATAGCATTCCCATTTTCACAGAATTTACGGTTCATTAGGCGAATGGAATGCGTAATAACAGTTCCCAAGCAAATTTCGATGAATGCTTTCAATTATCCAGTGGTGCCGCGAGCTACAGCTCTGTCTATGCATGGCAGCAAAGTTAGGTGGTTAAACCAACTACAAGCATCATAAGTCGCTGATGGCGAACGGGCGGATTTTTCTCACACTATACTCCAAATGAAGGATGATCGATAACGGATGAAAAAGCCTGTTCCCAATGGGATAGTGTGGGTTTCAGAGTTGTAAAAACAGAAATCAGCTGGTTCATCAATCAAACGACTTAGGTGAGTTACCATAAGTTAAGGTGTGTGCACAGCCGGATCGACGCGAACTAAGGACGAAACACGGGAGGCATAAATTTTACTATTGCGAGACTTGCCACAATTCACACCTAGTTTCAAAATGACGACATTTAACGGAAGACAAGTCCGATTATGTCAAACCTAGCGTAACAATCTCGCTGAGCCACAGTACGGAAAGTAATAAAAAGGCCGGTGGAGGGACCGGAGAACACATTGGTTCAGCATATCTTTACTGCTACGCACTACTAGAACCCAGTGTTCAACGAATGTTTAAATCACAAAACGAAATGATAAGCCACATAGTGCGAAAGAACACACAAACTCAAAAGCAGCGTGGACCGAGGACCGTTGCGTAAAATACAGTAGTGGTTTATGTAACAGAACAATATATAGCGACTTGAGGGTTTCGGTGTTGATTGCGCCCATCCTACCGTTCCATGACGCGTTTCGTTCTTGATCGTACTCATCAGGTGGAGATAGCCTGAGCTGGGAGTAGAAATCAGCACATAGTGATTGGCGGCTTCGCCTTTATCTCCAGGCCATTAAGCATCCGCTGGTGGGTGCTTCAAAACCAGATAAGCCACATTTAGGGTGGTTCTCGACGATGCTGACTGGTTTGGCCAACCTCTGGGTGCGTCAGATGGCTGGATATCGATAATACTCTTACCAGCAGGCCAACGGGTCCATGAATGACGCATGGCACACTTATGCATCTGAAAAACGAACGGAGTCAAATCAGAAATTAAAGCAAACAAACACAGTAGCAGCGGTTGCTCGGCAGATCATGAACATTCAACCTGATTGTCCTTATCTTAAAAAAAAGCCAGCAATGTGGCAGTTCGAATGTTGTGTAAGACGGCTGAGTCCAGGAAAAATAGCTTGGAGTGTAGGAGGCAGATAAACGCCATGCGCCCAGTGAAAGATGATCTTTTCCTGTTTGAGGAAAGATGAGTTTGAACAGCGACATTTTTCGGAGAGCTTGAAGAGCCCAGAGTGGATACCGGGGTGCATGCAATCTTGTACTCATAATATAATTAAACAATCGAGTCAACAAGTGTGCCACAGGTGGCGCTTAGCGCGAAAAATATTAATGTTAGCAAGACGAGATGATTTCCCCATATTTTGAACTGCCTGTGGTTCTGTATCGTACTAAAGCTAAGAGATAAACAGTATTCGTCGTGAGTCAATCACGAAATCAATCAACGAGAAGGCAACCACGATGGCACCGAAGAGCCAAATGAGCAACGATATCAATAGTTGAAAAGACAGTACTCTGAGCGCAACTATGGTGATGAAGACAGCGGTTTCCGGTCGCAATTCAAACATTGCAAGTAATCGAGAACACGGCCTAGAACATGTTGAACTATCATCATATTGTACCACCAAGTTCTGGGGCATCAAAACGTAATGGCAGTGCCGTAAAACCGGATAACTTTGGTCCACTTTTTTGGTTTGGAATATACCATACATTAATCAGTGCTTTTGACTGGGCTAATTCTATACCTTTGGCAGTTGTTTTAGAATACAATGAGCAAAGCTCCCTCTAAACGGGGATACTTTGGCCATGATGACAACGCATACACAGAACCAATGTTACCTAACACAATGGTAAGATGTACCACTGTTTAGATGAAAAAATATTAAAAACAGCATTAAATACTTAAGCAAATTTCCTAAAAATGTTTTTTCGTGTTCCACAAGCCTTTGATGGTGGAACACTCGTCATCAGAATCAGAAAAGATTTCTAGTCGGTTGTCACTGACGTCCCCGACAGAGGACAGGTAATCGGTATCTCTTAGATAAACTTTGGCTGTCGGGCCACCTTCTGATTCAGTACAAGGCTCGATTCCGGTAAGAAGCTCCTCAGTTAAACCCAAAACACTTTTTACACGTTGGACGTTCAGAGTATTTATGCGTTGTGGTAAATTTTCTTCACCAGTGGCAAAGTGCATTTCTCAGTCGTTGCTTGAATACCTAAGAAACGGAGGTGCTGACGACATCTGCATCCACTTCATTTTCCTCTGGAATTTTGATCAGGACAGACTGGGGATTTATTGGATATGCGCCAATTTTTCTAAAGCCCGACCGCAAGTTTTCTGCAATGCCTTCACCCACGGTTTCTAGAAGTGGTTTGAGCAACTCCGGAAACCTAGACTTCTAGATGGTTTGGGCGATTTTGCCGCAGGAGTTTTTAAATTTTATCAGCATGGTCCTCTACAGGGTCTTCATAGGCCGAAAGGATGCTACATCTAGAGGCTGGTAGAGGTGGGTCGAGTTAGGTGGGAGGCGACAAATATCAACAGTCCGACAATGTCAAAAGAAAAAAAGGTGAACTGAGATTGTCACCCAAAAGGACACAATGGCCAGTTTTTCCGCGACAGAATGGTAATATCACTTACTGAAACCATACTAAATAACAGGTGTTTTCAACCCAGCCTGTCCTTGACTTGTTATATCGTGCGTCTGATAGCCCATTCTCCGTTCAAGTGTCTCAAATCTTTCCGGCTCTACACACTACATATGGCGGCGGTAACGACATTACCAGTGTCAGCGAACATCAAGCTAATTGCTGACCTTGACGAGCTCATAATCCCTTCAGGATGTGGTGCCTTTCAAAGAGTACTTGGCCAACTTGCTAAAGTTACCCTAAAATAACAAACCTTATTGGGGTAATATTGGCCACCAAGACAGTAACAAAATGCATGATAGATGTGTTTGGATGACATCAAAATTGTTTACTGTTATTTATTCACAATGCAACAGTGATGGTTATACTGACACTTTCTTAGAAACATGATTCACAGACGAAAGTAGACCGTAGGTTAAACACGTCATGCACCGGCCATCTAACAAAAAGACTGAATATCCCAGTTCATCATAAAATGATTACAAATTAATGAAAAATGAGTTTTCAACACATCAAACCAAATTAGCACACACAAAATAAAAAATAAGTGCAACACAAGTGTTATAATTAATTTCGTGTTGGCCCAAAGTTACCCCATTTTACGGTACTACATGATTGAGGAATGTGCTTATTACAGTAACAGGACTTTCCAATAGATGGAACAAGCAAGTGTTTAGTAATGTCTTTGTATGTGCATTTGGTTTTCAGAAAACAGTGTCGTCAGCCACTATTACTACGCCGGTGATTTGCGCTGCTTAAATACAACACTAATGACAAAGGGATGTCTATAGCTAGTTGTCGATAAGTACAGAACTTGTTGGTGGACAGAAACCTAGAGAGTTGATCGAATTATACCCGCTACTGATGATATCCAGTAACCAGTTCTTGTGCTCATTCCACCGAGTAGGACTGTAGAAGCGTTTACAAGGCACATCAAACGATCGACTTGAACTAACGAGAATTTCCATATGCATTTGAAGAGTAATTTGATACGCCCCCAAGTATTCAACATTCAGCAGAACTAAAACAAGGCGACTTATTCACCGAAGACATCATGAGTTCGGCGAATTTTCTGTCGGATCATGTCTCGTAGAAAACTGGAAGTACTTGAACGCTTGCCAGAGGATCGTGAAAACGAACCATTCAGTAGCAAGTAACTCAGCAAATGAATATGAGCCGTGTACACGAGCACGTGTTAGGGCGGAAACCTACATGGCAGTCAAAAAATCGATCTAACAAGGAAAATCGAATCACTGGAGAAAGCAACAAGTTCGGAAGCAAAGGCAGATTTGCGCATCGTTTTGTAGTTCTCTCTGATCTGGGAGGTTGATAACGCCTTGTGGAGGGAGTGGCCAACATCAGTAAGTATTTTAGCTGCGATCTTGTCACAGAAATTGTCTGGCTGGCTACAATGCTGTTAACAAGTTCCAGCCTTGAAATGCCACTACAACGGAATTCGCCAATTACTTTGAGGAGACCAGCAAAGATGATGGAAGAGCAACAGATCCGGAAGGGTAACACACATGGTGATAAAACACTGAATAAAAAGACGGGGCAAGGAAGAACACGTGAGATGTGTAACACAGAATGAGTGTTCTAACTTTAGTGAATGTTTCGTTCACGTTAAGGGAAAACGTTAGTCCACTGCTCAGTGTCACCCCAGGTATTTTAATGAAACGGAAGAGGTCAAACATTAGCCATCAACGTAAAGTTGAGGGCACTGCGTTAAGATTTGATAACAGCGATTTCCTTTGAACAGCGAAAAAAGGATATACTTGCCTTTGGACGTGTCCAATAGTAGGCAGGGGAATTGGAACAAGGTTGTGTAGGAGTGTTTGTTGCTTGGATGATGACTCGATGCGTGGATGATGGACGTCAAGGATTACGTCGCCCGCATACTTCAGCAACATGGCTTCTTCAGAGACGGGAGAGGGAGGTAACATGAGTGGAAAATAGAAATGGGGACAAAATGGCTCCCTGAAGAACACAATTGAGGAGCATATTAAAAAGATGCACCCATTTGGATGACACAAACGCAGACAAATACAATGTGTGAAAATGCATTAGTTACACTTAAGTTCGAATTGCAGCTCGTGGCGCTGCAGAACACCTCTTGGAGACCTGTTCTATAGGGTTGCGATCGTTCGGTAAGCACATATAGGTCAGACGCATTACCTTGAACGAAGAATAAAATGAACTTTTAGGATAGAGCCGTGGTGAAAGTGCATATTTCCGGAGGGTTCAACGCAACCTGAAATAGCAACTATGCGACCCTAACCGACGTTAAAGCCCGCACTGGAGAATAGCTCGTGTCAACGATCGTAGTATTCGACAGGACATCAACGAATAAGCAGTCCCATTGCCTCAAAATGGATGAGCCCTATAGTACGTATAGCAGATGGATGAATACATTCTCAAGATCTAAACCGTTCGAAAGTGGGCGCAGTCAGACCTGAGCTGCAGTTGAAAGAAAGGCCGTAGATCCAACGGGACACGGATGAAGTGGCTAGTTATCGGTTACCTGAATGGCAACCATAATTTGAATTGCATTCAATCCCCTACATCAACTTTTATCATGCGGCTGTAGTTCAACGAAAGTAAAGTATTCATATTCAATTTCCACAGTGGGGACTGAACTGAAAACTCACCTGAAGATGATGGTAGTGAAATGGATGTTCGACAACAACAACAACAATCTCTATGCCAGGCGCGAAGGACAGTGAAAGCTGAGATAAATCATAAATTCAAACTCCGGGTATTTACTAATAGTAGGGTTGCTGGCTCATCAATAAAACAGAGAGCAGTATAATGTATAAACTCAAAACGAAAGTTCTGAAAGACGATATACAACTCCCTTCGATCATCAACTGATCAAACACTACGGAGAATATTCACGCGACTTCAAGCAGTACTGTAGATGTAACACGTCTACATAAGTACTAGAGAACTAGGCAACAGAGCCTAATACAGATAGGGACACAACTGTTCCTAAGCTATTTTGAAATGGTTTGGTACGGTGATATTTTGAAATGTGTCTCACGCCTCGTGTCAATTGTTAGAGCTGAGTGATCAAGGGTATCCGGGAGTTACTTAAGGGATTCGGGACTCTTTCATCCTCGACATTCACGTAAGCAAAAGATCACAGTTGTACATCTGGCGCTAGAGTTTCTGTGGCTTTATATTGGCAAGACAGGTGACTGACGTTCTGTTCAGGGGTAGGGAGAATTGTCCCTTTATTCGGAAGAGCTCAAATCAGCAGCAATGCGGAGAACTGGACGTGCCCGGTGAAGAGATACGCATGCAGGCACTAGATTGCGGCGGTCTGGTAAGCTCGTCAGATAGAAAAATGAGGTTGAGCAACTTGCGATGACTTATACAAGTATAAAGCTTGCGCCACCGCCACTTTTTGACGGCCCCGTGTTGCTGGATTGCATAAGGCTAGAGGGGGGAGCATGTGATCTGACGAAGCGAGATGAACGCGTTGACGACCGAATCGAATAATGTTGAAGCACCTCATTTCCTGAGCTAGAGTTCAAGTGACCCGCACTGTGTTCGGACTGGGACTTTACATAACCAAGTTTTCGACTGGTACTAGGGGCGCATTTGTACTCGGGTCCCAGCCGGATCGCAAGACTGTGTCTGGTGCCGAGTTACTTTTGGTGTAAAAGGGTTGCCTCGCCCCATAGTAGAATCAGCTATTCGTGACTGTGGTTTGTTCGCTTATGGTAGTTAGGTTATATGTCTGGTCCCCCTCTTACATATTATTATTAAGCAACACTAACAAGACGTCCATTGTCGTGTGGAAATAAAGTAGCAGTGTAAAATGCTGATAAACCGCCGTTGTCGCTGATCTAGGAGTCATGTTATGAGGATCACAAATTAGGTGATTCCTACACTACACCTTTGGAAGACAGTGGCGACACAAACAGATGAAATCAAAGGCGGTTTCAAAACAGATGAAATCTATCATAGCACGTAATACGATGTTCAAGCGTCTATCGAGTAGTGCCGGGGTCGGAGCCAGGCTAGCACACACTGCTTCCGTTTCCATGTAATTCAGTGGGTCGCATTATCAGGTAGGTAAGTGATACACAGCCAACATAATGATGAATTTAGTAGGAGATACTTCAGAATTTTCTTAAAATTGGTGAGACGGCTGACACAAATCAACCGAAAGGTGACGGAACAGCAACCAGCGAGTACAACCGGTCCATCCCCATGTCTGTTCAAATGAGGGATGATACGTAATCTAGGTGGGTCCCAGCGATTTAGGAGACGGTGGCGCAGGGGTCTATCGAAGTGCTTTGACGTAGCGTTCCTTCAGATGCTTGAAGTAGTACGTCTGAGAGTGAATCAAGCAGTCATTTTTACCACCGGCGTCATTCTCGGGCACGTGATTGCGATTAGCATGAAAAGTATTCCGCTGTTTCGAGAAAACTTGCCTACTTTATCTTAAGCGTCCACAGGCCGACGCCACGTCACAATGAAGAAACTCTGAAGTTTACAACGTATCGAGGCAGAAGCAGTATGCCGGCACACGACAGACACTTCGCTGCCATACGATCACCAGCGGTGACGCGCACGCTGAGTATGCAGCGATGTCACTCGCACATACGAGGATTCGAACCGGTACCCTCCGGATTACAGGGTAGGTGATTAATACTTCCGGTCACAGGGCGACGTAGAGTTGCAGGACGGAAGCCTGATTAGCATACACAGTAGAAGAAAACGTCGATTTTCGATGCTGGAACCCTCCGCGAGACACTTCGAGCGACCAAGGTGGTTTTAGTTTGACATAATAGGGTCATTTTATTGAGGCACAGTACAACCTAAAAGCCTATGGATATTGGCAGGTCGGTTCCACTAAACAATTACAAAGTCGATCAAGTTGAACTCAAATAGATGCTTTTGTCAATCTAAGTAATGTATACGGAGCTATAAGGCTATCCATAATTGGGTGGCCAATTGTAACGGTATGGTGTTATCAAATTGCAAACGAAATGATTCCTAATGCCTGTTCACTACGCCCAGATGTTTTATCAGGTCAGTTATCACCTTTCTTCTTGCACACAAACACCAGCGTCAATCCTCCTAACTCACGGCAAGTATGTGGCGAGGATACTGATGCCGATATCGATTAATTACTATAGTGCGTTCCACCCAGTAGAACGTGTAACCAGTACCGGCCTCATGCAGATTGCCTAGGTCAGCGAGCTGGGTCTTGCTGAATGCGGCAATGTCGATCCCGTAGCGCGCGAGTTCCATAGTGACCAGTGCCGTGCGTCGCTCGGGACGCTCACTCGTGTTTCGGTGAAGTAGTGTTCGCACGTTGCAACACTAGGATATTTCGCGGAAGCATACGATTGCGGTGGCTAACAGTCGTACGGTTGGTGACCTAGTTTGAAGATTGGACTAGGTGAACCGCGGACGGGGAGTATGCGCGGGGGAAAAAGAAAGAAGGGAGGTGTCAGCGATAGCATGTTTTCGCTTATCGGCCCCGCTGTATGCAGCAGATAAGGCGACTTTTTTTCTTATGCCACTGTGTGACGGCCGATGCAGTATGGGGTGGTTCTTAGTGGCGTGATTCATGGTTGAGGTTTGGACTAGGACACGGTCAGAACGGCTGAGGTCCTCATCCGAAACCTTCGACAACTACACGATAAGATGTGTAAAGGGTTTGAATAAAATCTTTCTCATTTACTTAAACCATTAAGCTTATTGGCATTCCAACATCATTTTATCTCGCTTTTCACATCGCGCAGCCACACCGTGGATAGCAAACAACCAACATAGAACTTAAGGGAAAGCAAACGAAAAATTGACACAGAATATGCAACAGAATAACAGATTTGAACAAACCAGATGAAGTGGAATGACTTTTAAAGAGATTAGAAAGACCTAGATTAGGTGTAAGTTGGTTTAGTCCAACTGCAGTGAAGAAGCATGAGTCACCGTTGGACATATACCACTCATCTATTATCGATCGTACTTCGTCACCTTTTATATTCTTTTTTCTAGTTGTATAATAATACAATAACAATGTGTCAGCTGTACGCCGTAACGGCGCTTCGCTGCCGCGCGACCACCACCAGTCGCGCGCGGGCTGAGTATACCGCGAGGACGCCCACCCCTACGTGGATTCGAACCGGTGACCTTATGATTGCAAAGCAAACGTGCAGACCACTCGGCCACCGGCCGACTTCCAGTTGTATACGACTGGGCCAATCTTGTGAGGTGACGGAATGAAGTTTCCAGATTATTTAATACACCCATGTGTAGCGAAATGTCACATATATACTGGTAGAGAAAATGCTGGTACACACTCATCGAGTGAAAAAGTGTCAGAAGCCGAAAAGGGATGAATGGCCTAAAAGAGTACTACATAATGAAAAACTTGAGAGCTCACTTATCTTTACGAGCCTACTACTCATTATATATAAGGACAGCCATACAAATGAACTAAAATGGCGATGGATCGCTTGTTGTTATGCCACACCGACACGAAGCCAAATGGGACGTGAAAATGTGGATGAAACTTTTCTAGGGACTACCATGCATGGAAGCAGGTCCCCATGAGTCGGTTTCACGGATAGCCGTATTAATTCCACTGCGCTTTTCTCAGCAACCACTTGCATACTACTTTCAGACTCTCCTTCATTCTAACATTTGTACCGATTGAACTGCCAAAAAACCTGAATTGGAAAATTTGAAATAACATCTGCCCTTTGAGATCATGTTGTACCAAGTGATCTGTCCAAGTAGTTGGACTGTAATTTACAGTTGAGAAATATACATTCATACACCGGAAAGGCAGCGGGCTGTGCGCCATGAGTCACTCAACCGACTTACACGGAAGTGTATAACCTGGATCACAGCTAGAAGAAGGGTGTAATCCAAATTCCACCCAGAGGTCGCCAGAAGGCGTCCAGGAAATGAGTCCACGGCACAATATTGGGAGAAACGCGTCGACGGTGTGTCAAGATCTAGCCACTACAAACCTCAGCGACCATGGATGTGACTACATCTAGAATATACGACGATGGCCAAGTGAAGAAAACTCACATCACGTGGCATAAGGCAGCGTGATATACGAAGGCTGAGAGGATCAGTGAGGCAAGTTACTGAGTACAGTGTTAGCATTTTCTCTTAATGGAGTGGGGATGACCTCGATAGGTTGCAAATCTCCAGCAGGACTTTCTGCCTCCATGTAGTGCCGTGTAGTAGGTATCTTACGGGGGGTTTCTAAAAGTAATAGGCTCCCTTGTCCTTTGAGGTCGAACGCAGGATCCCAGAGCCTTCGTGAACAGTGAGTTGATTGGAAATGTCTCGGAAAGTGAAACTAAGCTGAGATACCTGTCGAGGTTAATAGGACGGTGCGCTGATCAATGTGGGCGACAGAGTCAAGTTGCGTGAAGTGCCAATCTCATCTGTACAATGGGTGTACACGCGGTAGTCGCCGATGCGCGGACAGTGTCAGAATTTCAGCCACGCACCGGTGAGTCGCTACACATCACGTGAACAACGAGTAAATCCAATCGAGTATGTTAGAATACACAAGCAGCTGCCCACGTGTGTTGCTGGTTGCATCACGTGATTTCATCAAGTGAAAGCAGAACCAACTGAGAGACGCGTGAAAGATCAAGTGTGCAAACCCATGGTAAGGAAAGCAAAAGTTCGCGGAGTAGATTGGCTGTGTAAAAAGTAAGAAATTGCTAGCAAATAACAGTGGTTCCTGAGTTAACGAGAATGCAGAAACGGTGGAAGAGGCTAGGCTTATGACAATGAGCACAGACAGCAAAGGATGATGAATCATCAGAAGTGGTATGAAAGTGGCAGTCCAAATGAAAAGAGAATTTTAAATTTTAAATTAGGAAATAATCAGGTTAACCCGAAAATCAGGCAAACAGCGCAGACGGACATGATCGAGGAAGAGGACAAGGTAATACGAACTCAGTTCTTAAAAAGAAGCAGCGAGAGTCAAAATTCATGGCAGCATGGACGAAAACAATAGTGGTAAATGAAGGAAACAAATTATCGTCACCATTACACATTAGCTAAAGTTAAGAAGCACACATCAAATACTGGGCCGCAATACATAAAGATAAGATACGAGAAAATATACTGAACATTATGGAATGCAGAAAGGGCAACACACTGTTTAGTAGCATTTTATGCTTCAAGAATGAGATCCTGATTGGGGGAGTAGGATAAGCTGGATGGGGAGGATCAGAGAAACTCACAACACAAACGCCTTTGAGATCGGCTGCTTGCCATCTCAACTAGTGCATCCAACCAGACCCGTGAAACGTCCTTTGGACCCCAGCTCGTCAGTTGGGAGACATTAATCGGCGACAAGTTCGAAGTGAGGAACTACATTACTAGTGGCCAAGTCATCGTTTGGTCTCATCACCTCTGCTTCCATCCACAAGCCTGGCACCCAAACAACGCAACCCGCGGAAGTCGGTGGGCTAGCATGCGCAAAATGTGGCGAAGGGAACGAATGTTTCACGCTGAGTTCATAGGGAGGGATCAGGTCACTCGCAGTGGTGACAGTCCGGTAAAAGGTAACGAAAAAAGGGACAGTTACGACATGAGGAGCGTCAATGATGGGTGCAATACGACCAAACAGTGGATGGCGACGAACTCGAGCGGAGGAAGAGATGGTAAATGGATCCATGTTGGGCGAAAGTAGGGACCCTGGTAGGAGGTACCATCCACGACAAAGTAGTAGTGGCTAGACAAGGGGAAATCGAGTTCATAACCGACACGAACGCAAATTCGGTGATAACTGAACCTCATCAAGGTACTATCCTAAACAAACTGGTGTCAGAAAAACGCAGCAATCACACCAACTACGAGTGAGAAATGCGTTGACCTAAAATTTTCATTGGAGATATTTAAGGAACTCCAACACAGTGTATGTATTGTCTAGTTGCTTAACGGGCAGGTAGGGGAAAGAGACGCATGGGGCAGGTTGAGGATAGGTAGTTGCTCGAACAAATGGTATGTAGCACCAGACACTACCATACAGTTAACGGTATGGAACTCCAAGGCAGACACGAGGAAAGGAATACTGAACACATTTGCGCGATCAGAAAAATTTAAACGAATCGCTGATCAGTTTCTCCAGTCCCAACGGTCTAAACTAATAGATATCCATGCAGATGCATTCGGAAAATTCGCATCATACTACGCGCGGCTTGACAATAGTGTGTATATGGAGAAAAACGATAATCAGCTTTTCTGTGCAACCGGGTATATATACCTGTTTCAAACGGGTGTACAGATAAAAGAATAGACACCCATGCGAACCAGTGTGATGAAGCCTTCTGGAAAGCACACAGAGCAAACAAAGAGGAGCGGCCCAGGTCAAAGTTCCACTGTGTGAATGCTTTGGCTTGCAAAACACCACTGCACATGAAGGTAAAATAGCAGACAATTGCCAGGACTGAAGAGAGCCGGCAATATTATGACAACGACAGGGACAATTTCACAGGCATTAGAGCTCGTGTTGATGACCACGAAGGATTGTAAATTGTGGGCCGAAAGAAGAACAATAAATGAGCGTGCCTTCAAAACACCAGTGTTAAGCAACTGACATCTACTACCAGGTGGGGAAACACTACAAACGAGGAGCGCGCCACTGGCGACAAGGCGTCATAAACACCGGAAAGTAATGGGCATTAGAATGGAAAGACTTGTGAGAAACAGGATCCGGTGAGCCTGAGTGATACACCAATGAAGTGTGTAAGTGATGGTGTAAGGTAGTAACGCAAAGGTGAATGAAGTAGGAGACAAATGAATAGAAAAAAACGATCTCATCTCCGAAAGTGAAAAACGATACTTGAAATAAACAAAATGTGAGTGGTAATCTGGATTCGGTAGAAAATGAAGCAGGCGTACAGACGGAAAAATGAAGTGGCAATGGATGTTTACAAGATGAACACTTTACTGGATGGTTCAGTAGCGCAAAATAAAGACCATATAAGGAAATAATGAAACACAGTAGCTGAACAAAGGGATGAAAAATAGTGGGTTCAATGTATCTGAGTACATGGTACAGCAAGAAATGAGTTATCTTCTAGGTGAAGGCAAAAGAATGAAGGGAAATAGCCGAATCTGATGTGAATAGCCGGAAGCCACACTGTTCCGGTTAAGTGGATACTATCATGGCTATATGCACTAGGGCTGTTACGGCGAGAGCGAGCGCAACTAAACTGTAGCAAAATCAGTTAATCTGTTTGAGTTAGAGGTAAAATGCATCAGCCCAACGGCTGTCTGCACCCAATGTAGGGCTTTCCAGAATCAATAGAATATAGAGAGGTCAGTGGTCGGTACGGTAACAAATCGCCTGTAGAGCGTGAATACAAATCCAGATAGGATGTCCGCGGAATGACCCTCCCGTTGGAGAGCAGACGGTTGGTCGGAGTGATGGAACAGCTGCTCATATAATCCAAAGGAAGAAGGCGAACAGATCGAGAGCCCCGTACGCGTTCCTCATATTCCAGTAACTGACGCCAAAAACTGGGGTTAGGTTGGATGCATGGGCGTATGCTACGCACATGTTGATAAGCGTCAGCAAGGCTCATATTCATGTGACGCACAAGATAGGCGAGGACCAAAGTACTTGAACGCGACATACCAGCCATGCAGTGTACAAGAACTCGACCACCACGACGATGTTCAGCAGCGATTCGATCGCCGACTCGATCAAAATGAACGCGTAAATTGGCACCTTCCATATCCTCGACGGCCACATGCAGAGAGCTACTCACAGCATTTCGCAGCTGCAAAGGTGGTGCATCGACCATAGCAGACACAAGTAGAGTGATACCATGCTGACGCAGTCGATCGGGGGTCAATGCACTCAAACTACTCAGGTATAAATGGCTGTTGATTCGTGCGATTTGGCTGAACATCTGTCCGTAATCGAAATTGTAAGTAGCAGGCTGAAAAAGAGTAGCAGGATTGACCGAAAGATTGGGTTCTCTAGATGAGGCGGTTTTCTTGCTAAGTGGCAACTCGGAGTGACTGTCTGCTTTGGGGGTTACAGAGGTAGTTCCGGAGTTCAAAGCACGCTGTGATTGAGAGGAAAGCCCGGGGGAACTAGGGTTCACCGCTTGTACTGCTTTGTCACAAATGGGATCGCGCGAGGCAGAAAACGAAGGATCTGAGTTGTCCGGTGTAACTGTTGTTGTGTATGTGCTGGTATAGTTTTTATTTAATGGACCAAGAGAGAGCAGACTCGAACCAGTAATGCAGTTGGCGCCACTGGAGATATCGTGTGTTCTAAGCGCGGCGCGATTTATGGGAGTCCCCGACACGGACAGACCGGATGGTTTTGGACGTTGTGGATCAAATCTGAGTGACACGAGATCATCCCAAAGTCGACGAACTCCCACATTGTCCGAACAGTCAATCGCAGCTAGGGTGCGATTGGCAGATGGTTGGCCGGACGGTGGATTGGTGCTCCTCGCTGCATTGGCTGGATCAACGTATGGTGATAGGTCAGATGACCAGGCACGTGAACCACGTTGTGGTGTGGTGGACACGCTGCCGTTGACGAAAGAGGTGGTAGGCTTCGTATGTGTCCCACAATGAAGTTCCACATTCTTTCGCGTTTCCGTAAACGGCCTATAACTGGAGGAGTAGGTGGTGGAAAATCGGTCCGAAATGTGAAAGTCAGGAGGCCCACGGTCGAAATTGGAGCGTGTATCACCCATACGCTGTAAAAACGAGTCCTTCAAAAGAAAGACTGCAGCGCGTGGAGAATCAAGTGAAACCCCTGAAATGGATGAAAACGGCGTTGAAAAGACACGTACGAAACGGAGAAGTTTGTGTTATCCATTTTCGTTTGTACATAATATATAGTGCAAAACAATAAGACTCAAGATGAAGATGTTGAATGCTACTTATTATGCTGTGGCACTGGTCACTAAAACATTGGGTCCATGTATCCTTGCAGTTAAAGGCCTTGCACAACCAAAGTAGAGGGTAAGAATTCATTCAAGGAAGTTATAAGACCGGAAATTGACAATGTGCATCAATTGAAACAAGAAGAGCAAGTAAACAATGGACAGATCATTAGATCAAACACCGGACACAGTTGAATGGAGGTGGTGACTGGTGAGCGAAAGCCAGATAGATTTGTCGTGCGAGTGCCCCTAGCCCAAAAACAGGAGTTCAAGTAGAACTTTTTAAGCACCCACGGATTCGACATTCATCAAATCGATGAGTTACATAAAGTTGTACAGAAACAAAGCACTATAAAACGTAATAGTTATGTATCGGGTTGGTATGTCGGAAGCCAAACGTTTACGCACTACTAACGTGATCAAAAAAGTTCTTGCTCATTGGCTGGGGGCCTGTGAAGATGATATGAAGTGGAATAGGTTCTGGAGACATGGTACGCAGTAACTCTCAGTGACTGCACGGTGGCAGTGATCATTACCACTTGAATGAGTCTGAGGTAACTGTGAGGTTTAAAAAGTTCATTTGATGTAGGATCCCCGACCTGAACTTCGTTTAACCATCACAGTTATCACTGATTAACAAAAGATGGGGGGGAGGTAGAATGCGTATGCTACTGATACTGATTAGAAGCAACGAGTAGAGCATAATTTGTGTAGCTGCATCAATTGTCACTCTTGGGCATTAACATATTAATTATCGTTCCGCTCTTTATATTTTGCCTCTGCAAAGTGTTTGTCTAGAAGCTTCTTAAATTCGGCCACTGAATTCGCCTCTATTACCGGCTGCGGCAGGTTGTTCCAGGTATTCACCACTCTACGTTCGAAACAGAGTTGGTGAGCTACCCGCTTCAACTGCGGTACGATAAGTTTGTACCGGTGTCCTCGCGTGCTGCTTGGTGTGCGCAGATGAAGCAGTTGTCTCAACATGGGGTAATCACTCAGATGTAATATCCGGTGCGTCATGAGTAGGTCAACCCTCAGCCGACGATATGCTAGGGTGTACAGCCCTATTTTCTTACATCGGTCTTTATATGGCATACCTCGTAAGTTGGGAATCAGCCTAGTGGCTACATGCTGCACTCGCTCAAGCTTTTACACCTCGCCCAGCGTGATGGGACAATATGCGGGAGAGCCGTACTCTATCACTGATCGTATTATCGAGACGAAGAGGCGAGTGGCAATCTCTTCGGACCAAGTGCTGAAGCTGCGCCTGAGCGCCCAAAGCATCCGAAGGCTGTTTTGGTACAGCCTATTCGTGTTGTCAATGGACTTTAAGTCGCAGAGTGAGAGCACACCGAGGTCGCGCACGAAAGACGCGGGATGCAGCGGTTGATCAGCCACTGTGTACGTTCGGCTGTGCTCGCATTTACCCAACCTCGTAAATTGCGACTTAGCAGGGTTGATCGGAAGGTTAACCACTGTAGACCATGTTGAGAGGCTGTCGAGATCCTGCTGAAGTAAATCACAATCACTGAGTGTGCGGATTACTCTCCACACCTTCAAGTCATCTGCGAACAACGCACATGGTGATTGGAGTAGCTTAGGCACATCGTTTACATGGATCAGAAACAATATCGGCCCCAGTACAGTGCCTTGGGGCACGCCGCTGTTCGATGGATACCAGTCCGTTAGATGGTTGTCCACCTGGACTCTCCACTTCCGATCCACAAGGAAATTTCTGACCCATTTGTGTAGCGAACCACCAACACCGTACATCCTCAGCTTGTCAAGGAGCACTGCATGGTTAACCTTGTCAAAAGCCTTACTGAAGTCAATGTAAATGACACTGACTGAATGGCCTTGGTTCATCGCTTGTAACCACTTGCGTATGAAACATAAAGAAGGAAAAAGTACACTAATGATGAGGCTGTATGGAGAGACGATGCTACAGTTGGTCATTTTGAGGCAATTCAACCTTTATAATTGTGTCAAAATTTTGACAAGATGGATGGGATTTATATGGTAAATCCATCCAAGGTATGTGACACTACAGCCGATCCACAGAATAATAGCAAAGAAGCCCGGCTTGGCGATGTGTGGTGTGCTCTGGGAGTTTGGTCACAATTTCAACCAGCAAAAAGGAAGTCAGTCTGAAAACACTAAAATTATTTATGCACTCTCTACCAGTCGGCGCTGCAATTCAGCGTGAATCCTAACTCCGCAGACGGTTCATAATTGTACTTATCTACAGCTTCGTAGAGCCTCGGGGATAATTACTAATTCTAGAAACATATGAAATCGCATAGAGACGGGAAACAACCAACTATACCAAGCGGCGGGCAACGCGTCTGGTTGAGCGCTGAAGCTGGTCACGATACATGGAGCCAGTGGTTTACGGGAAGCCGGAACAAGTTGCCTGACTGATTAGCCGAAGTTCGGTCTACGTAAAACCGAACGGGTCGGAAAATTAAAACCTACAAATGTCCAGTTGAATAACGTCCGTAATCCGGTCCCCTTTTCGAAGTCTGTTGAAGACATGTGGAGACCACTAAAACAGGAACGTTTACCCTGGTGTCTCAGTGTGGACCCGATCAATGTACAAAACTCAAGGCAACGCTGTATTTGCGTCCAGGATCGAAACTCGCCATACAGGAGAAACGAGATGCCAACCCCGTAGCTGACCAGAACCATGAGAGAACAGAGCCAGTGGTTGGCATCACATCAGCGAAGTACACTTCATGTACCGTCACAGCAAGAAAAGGAAATTGTTAAGTGCGAATCTGTGCTGAACACCGCACTTAACTACGATTAGTACTGGCTGGCTGGCCCAACAACCTCCCCGTGCTGCAAGCTGGGTGATTCGGGATTTTCGCGTCCCAGCAAATGATTCGGCGACAGTGTTCCAGGACGTGGTGGGTTTTCGCCTGGTAAGCGTCCTCCTTACAAACGCCACATATGTCCGTTTAACAACACTGACGTGGCGGACGTGACTCGCCACTAAATAACGTCACTGCCCCTTGCTTCATCCTGGCGAGACATTGTATCTCAACAAATTTATGATGTAATTCTGGAGAGTATTGGGCCCCTGTTTGACAAAGGAAAGGAGTATGAACTGAGCAATCAGTCACCCGCTCCCAATGGGCGCGATTCCCTGGATTCGCTCCGCTGCCTTGCGGGCAGGCTATTCAGCCAAAGGCTCGGGGTGGTGTCCCCTAAGTCAACACCCTACTTCGGCTTGGGCAACCGGGTAGTATCTCGCCCTCTGACGAAACCATGGACTTTGATGTGTTTTCTTTTACTATTTCTGTACCTTTTGAGTCCCATGGTTTCTGATGGCTTAATGTCTATTCATAGACTGTTGCAACATATATATATATATATATATATATATATATATATATATATATATATATATATATATATATATATACGATACATGTATCGATGTATCGTATCGATGTATATATATACGATATATATACGATTAGTACACACTTGTAATCCCAAAAGTGCTTTTGCAAAATAGCCCAGGCGCAAAAATTTTGCCAAGTTTGATTAATCCGATACCTATCTCCAAGTGAGTGCTAGCCAGAGCCATAGGCTGCAGATAAAGAACACTCACTATGAACTGTCCCGGCGTGAGAGACTATTTTAAGAGTGAAAACTGTGCTGACTATCTTCCAAAATCCGGTGGACACCGCGCGATTCTAGTATCACCGCATGACTGGATGTCATCATGAGTAGGAGGGCGGAAGAGCCATTCGAACGGTTAGATAAAGTGCGTAGCCGCATCGAAGTATACTCTCTCCGGATACATAAAGTCTAATGTACGTAGGGACGTCCTCGCGGTATATTCAGCCTGTGTGCGACTAGTGTTGGTCGCACGGCAGCGAAACGCTGTTACAGCGTACAGCTGACACATTATCATTATGAACGTACGTTATTGGGTTTCGAAGTTTAATACATCTTCCACGTTGGTCATTACACAATGTGGCTTTGTAGTTGGAAAAGGCTATTGGTGATCTGATACTAAAAGCAGACTCACAGAGGAAATGTTTCTATAAGACATGTAATTGTCGCGATACCCCATCAATTACTACAACGTTTTCCTCAGAAATGAACTAAATCTGTGTTTTGCTGGGTAAGCTACTGGTAAGGTATACAACATAGAAAAGATAACAGGATAGACGGGTTACTTCTGAAAGAGTTCGGTTAATGGCAAGCACAAACAGTGACGACACCTCAGACTATTTTGAAAACGTATTTTTGCAGCTGATGAATCAAAAATGGGATCATTGCAATAGTCACACAAATGTTATCAGTCAGATCTAAAAAGATGCCGCCCGAATCACCGGGCGCTAAAAGCCAGGCGAAACTATACTCAGAACCAGCTGTTAGCGGTCATCGTGTCACAGAAAACTCGGGATCGCAAGTCGCCGACTATCCTTTGGGTGATATATCTGCTTACACAACTAAATGTTGACAACTCCGGGTACTCACCATTTTGCGCCATGATCCGCAGATACGATATCATATGACTTTACCAATAGATATCAGGAGTACAAGTTAAACCAAGACCTATGACCTCGAGTTTCGTAGACCCTACCAACAATCTAACGGTGTACTGTGCGTCTGTGTCAATACGCACGCACTGTTATGTCACAGGGTCAAGGTTTTAGCCTCACTTAACGTCTTCGCCATTTGCCTACATTCAGAACTTACCTTTTCATACTCTCAAGCCTACCTTCCATGTCCACATGGAATCTGAAAACATGTGACAAATTGACTTGTATTCACTCATTTCTATGTTATTACCCGTTTATACTAGTTTGCAAAAACGGTATGTTATCACGGAAAACGAAAAAGCAAAGGA